AGCGTATTAACTTTATCATTCCAGATAGTTCCCCAACTTTGAGTCGTCTCTAAACACCTACTGATTGCAGCGAAGCGCTGAGTACACATAAACCGTGATAGTCTATGGAATCTTAAACTGTCCGTCCAAGTGAACCGTGACAGTAAAAACAAAAATATAATTTACCAACCAGTATTATTGAAAAATAACTTACTCGCGTAGTGGTGAAACAGGTACCAGACGGTATTTCGGAGAGAAGGCCTACCTCGGTATTCAGTGGAAGTCGGAAGCGTCTACTTAGTTGGTGGACTCGGGCCGGACTGACTTAACCCAACGCCGCCGTTTGTTTGTAAGGAAAACGCTCGACGATGAAAGGGCAAGCTTTGTGGGAGAAAATACCATGGTGCACGCTTCGGCTACCATAGGTCCAAAGCCAGCGATGCAGCCTCGAGCGTGCGACCAGCCAAACTGCTATTTGCATCGAGGTCACGCGTAAAATAATATATTTAGAAATGAATAATATTTCGGAGAAATTCAAGAAAGCCGCGCTTCTTCTCAAAATCAAAGAAAAGTTGTGTGGTTTTAGTTACACAAATAATTAAAAATACGATAATCAGGTGAAATCATTACCGCGGGATTGACCGAAAATTACCTAGAGCAAATAGTTGAATTAAAGTCAATTAATTAATTAAATTGAAGTCGGAGGCGCACACATTTTCGGAAAAAATCTGGTAACTCCGTTACACTGCTATATTGATTAATTGATTAAGTATTAAATAATATCTGAGAAAAATCAACACAAATATGTATCAACTTTGTCAGCGAGAACGGCAACGATGTAAAGCTTATAAATGCTCACAGTGCCTCACAACATGACACCAACAGCGATTTATCAGTTTGTATAGTATTTCTATTCTGATTTGAAACACTGCATTATACGAGGCTATTTCAGCATCACTCTTCTATTGAGTTCATAGAAAATGTATTGTAAGTTTATATACCATTCCCTGTATAAAATATAAGCAGCGAGGAAACATCGCTACAGTAACCCAAAATAATAATTTAGGTCGGCACGCGCCTATAAATTGAATTATTGGGGTGGGCTACTTACGTCTCTAAACTCAAACTTATTAGGTACCTACTATGCGTTATTTATAGTCGAAATTGCACTCCAGATATGTCTAGAAAAACATCGAATCGTATGTAATGGAATTCCCAGAAAAGACGCGCTACTCGACGTAAACGAGTAATTTCCTCAGAATTATTACTGGGTTGTCGATGCATTTTCGTAACAATAATAAAGGAAATACAGGAAACTATCAGAAATTACGGAGGAATTATTGTTAGACCCCAAATTCAGAAACTTGGCAAGATGTTAAATTGGCGAGCGGTGACTTTAATTTCTGAGTGGAGACACAGTTTAAAGTGGGTCTTATTTGCAGGTAGAGAGTAAAACACACTTCAGTTAACTGTTAAGGAAAATTTTTATGATTCCAAGTGAAATTTTAATTCACAGTTTGACTCGACTTATACTCTTGCTTTCACAATTTCCGGCTGAACATAAAAAAACTGTACCTACATTTAACAATAATATATTTACTGCTGGCCACACCTAATTACATGGAAATCTTATTGCTGGAAGGAATTTACTTTAATTATGAACAATTAATAAAAAACTCGAATATTTTCGCGCTGTTATTTCACGTCGTGCTTCTTCTCTCGGTTAATTCGACAACTCTTTCACGCCATAGTTCTGACTTTTTGGACACAGGTCTCTCGATTCTCGATTACTTCTTGTTTCTTGATTACTCAACCGACACTGGTCCTTCACGCCGTAGTTCTGCCGGTTTACTCGCTCTTTCTCGAACACTGATTTTCTCCTGCCAAACTTGCCTTTTTATATCATTGGTCCCTCCATTGTCTTGAATTTCTTCATTTTTACTGATCTCGATTTTTTGTCGTTGAATCTTCTTTTAATTAATTATCAAGGGCGTCGCTCAGCGGTTTGTTAAGTGGGTATCATCATATAGGCTCGTGCATGATTTATTGATCCTTTTACAAAGTTTTCGGCTCCTTTGGAATGTTAATTGTTGAAAGCACTTAAAAAAAAGGTCCATGAACTTTTGCTTTATTCACATTCCAATATAGGGTATCGGCTTTCAATAATTTCTGGATATCGATGTTCAGATAATTTTTAATTGAAGTTTCTGGTTGTGCTGTCTAAGTGATGATCTCTCCTGGGATGGTTGTTTGGTAAGTCCTTGTTATTCTTGATTAATTTTCGGTAGTTGGATCCTAGGTCTTTAGTTGTTTAGAATAATCAGAACCTTTAATTGTTTTCTTGGTGGTTTATTTCCGCGTCTCTACAACCTCCTCTCTGGTTGTTGTAATGTCTAAACCCCTGATATGGATAGTCTCTTTACTTTCTCCGTTTTTTCTGACCTTCATATCGCCTGCTGCTTCTTCAATGACTTTTCTTACTTCTTCAATTGCCGTAGCGTTGTTGTCCATAGTGATCAGTACTCTTTAATTTCTCGTCATTCCTTTATCGTATTGACAATTTGTGGGTAGGATTTCCCATTTTGCGTGACCACCAGAGCCGGGGATCTTTCGCGATTCCGTTGTGTTTTTATTTGTGTTCCATCCTGGCTTTTGTGTGTATATATTGTCACATGCGTGTTTCCGCCGTGGAAAACAGTTTCCACCGTTTTCCTCTCGATTTTCCTTAATCTGCCATTACTGCTACCTTCTAAGTGGTGTAGTAACACCCACTCATCCTTCTCCGTTTCCACTTTCAGTCTGACAAGTTTGGCCCACAGGTCTTTTGCTGCATCCCCTAGCTCAATTCTCACAATTTTTTAGTGTCTCACTTTTGGTTTTCCATCTAGAGCTCTGCTCTAGGACCGCAAAATCCTCATCAGTATCCCCGAATTCGGGGTACCTGTTCTTATAGATGGCCTGTATGCTCCTCTCCATGTCCAAATCTATTGGCTCAACCATGACCACCTTTACAGTTGATGTCTTTGTCCTGAGTGGGTTCTTGATTTCCGTATTTGCGAAGAGGTTTTCTCTCCATTCCATTCTTTCAGCTTTTAGCCACTCCTCATACGTGGTAATATCTTCTAGGGTTTGGATATATCTTCTTTCCATTCTCCATTCGTTAGTCTGTGTTCCCTGTTTTTTCGTGTTTTGTCATCGTTTGTATTGCGCAGTCCTTACTATTTCTACTGCTGTTGTATATCTGTGTTTTTCCAGCCATGTCTTGACATCTTTCTCAACCATTGTGTTGTAGTAAAAAAAGTTGAGACTTTAGATTTTTCGAAGACTTCAATCTCAGAGTCGACCTTTTAAAATCTTCAAAATCACGTCTTTGTAGTGACTACAGAAATTTTAATCAAGAATAACAAGGACTTACCAAACAACCATACCAGGAGAGATCATCACTTAGACAGCACAACCAGAAACTTCAATTAAAAATTTTCTGAACATCGATATCCAGAAATTATTGAAAGCCGATATTGACTAATACATTGGAATGCGACTAAAGCAAAAGTTCATGGACCTTTTTTTAAGTGCTTTAAGGAGCCAAAAAATGTCTAAAAGGATCAATAAATCATGCACGAGCCTATATGATGATACCCACTTAACAAACCACTTAGCGACGCCCTTGATAATTATTTAAAATACACTAATTGATCGGATGATTCAACCACGAAAAGAAACTTTATTTTAATTGTCCACAATATTTCTGTGTTTTAGTTTCCACCCGCAAATAGGACCCATTTTAAACTGTGTCTCCACTCCGAAACTAAAGTCACCGCTCGCCAAGTTTCTGAATTTGGGGTCTCACATCTTCATAGCCTTCAAAATCATCAACGCTTTTAAAATTGAATTCTTAAAACTTTTAGAGTATTTAAATCAAAAGCTTCTCAATTTTTGTCTATTCTTGTCTCTTAAACTTTTGTCTCTCTCAAACTTTTCTAAATAGGAAAAATTCGGAAGCCAATTTTATTATACAAACATTTATAATAACTTGATATCCATATTCTTGAATGAAATATACATTAAACCATAAGTATACTTACTTACAATCGACTAGATACTTACAATGTGTTAAAATCGATATTGCAAAGACGTTGCTTATGGTCTTAGCGAGATGAATAATCCAAACTCAAACACAATATCCATCCGGTAGACAAATAATTGTTTAGCAACTCCCCAGCATTATATTTGGCCAAAAACTTTGTGGGATGTTTACTCCTGGAACGAGTCTATTATCGTATGATGGCGTATATGTGAATATAGTGATGATATATAACATTCTAACATTTTTGAATACAGAAAATCTTTTTTTCTGTAAAAATTATAGTTTGAACTTTCGAAATTACAAGCATAGCGACAATTCGCAGGGCTCAATTCTCGAAAGTAAATCCTCTCCCTCCGTTTCCAACTAGTTCAAACTCGTTTTGTATTATGCAAAACGTGTCATGTAGTCGGCCTCTATTTTGAATATCAAGTGGGCCGCCGAGGGGAGTGTATGTAGAACAGGAGCCGGCGGAGGATTTAATGGCCTCCGGGCTAGTCTTGACATGGTTATGAAATGAGACTCGAAAAATAATCAAATCGAAATCAATTCAGGTGAGAGCAACAATGACCAGAAAACGTTTCTGCTGCTGGACACAAAAGGCAGTCGATAAATTTGCCATTCCGGACAGTTTGCGGAAATTATACCCCGGCCGTCCACCATGGTGCAGAGTTAATTCGGAATAATACCTGCTGCTCTGCACGATTCAATATTGATTTATGCACTCGTTGTGGCCGTTTGTTTTATATATCTTCGACTAATGAATTTTTAAGCCATTTGTTTTTTTTTCCTTGTATACTTTTACATGATAAATCGACGGCAAGCACCGTCACATACAGGGTGGTCCAATAGTAGCCAAACCAAAACTCATCTTGTATATCAGCGATACGTGGCTGATATCACCTTTTGCCAAAATATAAAATAAAATACAAAAAATTTATAATAAAAAATAATTTATTTACAAATATATACAATATCATGCTAAACAATTATTATTGTGATTGACAGTCGCAAAAAATTATGCTAAATGACGTGTGTGTGGAAAAAAGAACAACTTATAATCCTACTATAATTGGAATTTATTGTCAACTACTATAACATAGCGGAAAAAGCTTTTTCTAGTTGCTGACGTGTATAATAAGGAGAATGTTTAAAAGTCTATCAAGTAATAAATCTATTTACATTTTACCCTCACAAAAATCATTCTAGAAGCATTTTCATATCAAATTTTCACAGCCACATTTATAAACTAAAATCTAAATATACACACATAGTGCAAATATTGCTCTCTATTCCATTTAATTTCAAATGAGCCAACTATAGTTTTAGAAAAAGTCTTGGTCCAAAGAGACATTTAAAGGCTAAGATTTCTCAATCTCAAGATTCAACGAAATCCGACGGTCATTCGTCCCACAAACATTGTTGCTTCTGCGCAACAAAATACAAAAATAAATGACAAACTTTGCAAGTTTTTATGCCGCACCGGTAGCTCGACGTCTGCTGCCCTCTACCTTTACAATATTTGAGTTCGCACGGGTACCAACCTATACACTGTTCCAAGTGACACCAGCACGGTTGCCACATGTTTTTCGTGTTGGTACAACTGTCGATATTGCTAGTGGTTGGAAAAGGCTTTAGCGTTGCTTGAAATGATTTTGTTGGACGATTGCGGATGTTTGACCATTTTAATATGTCGTCGTAACGGGTGTAGGTTGACTGAGCTGCTTCTGCGCACAAATCGTTGATAAACGGACTGATTATTGAGGAATGTTTGAGTACTACATTATAATCCATGGTGTGATTTACCCTGAAAAAATGTATAACAACTTAGACCAAGTTACTAGACATATTAGGCTAATTTGTCTTATGTGTCATAGTACGTTGGTCCAATTTGTATAGTTCTTACCTTCCGAGATCGTCTTCGGGTGTCCGCACGCTGCTCGGATTTTTTTGACGTAACTTTGACATTGCGTCCGACGAGATGAAGGAGTCTTTGACGAAATGGACGACAAAGCACATGACTTGGTATTGGCTCTGTCCTCGTTCTTCTTCGCCCAGTATCAGTGTCTTAATTATTTGAACTTCCTGAAACAAAATAAACAAAATTTGATTTGAAAATGTAAAGTGTGACAGACCAATATAGAGTTGTTACGATAAATTTATCATTTACATAACATGTTTCATCTCTTCTTATTTTCATTATTAAGGTGTATTTTTTCTATTTCAGAATCAGCAAAATAATCTAAAATATTCACAAAGCTCAAAATAATACCAGTGCTGCCATCTAGTACCTGTTGGATTTATTTTTCAAAGTATGATATTAATTATTTCATATTTGACAGTCATTTGTATTTTCATTGAAAGAAATTATATTTATCTCACTTTCAGCAAATGGATATATTTCTGTCTTTCTCTAACCTCCGATTCTGAAATAATCATTTTTTGGCTTAATGACCTAATTAATTAACAGTTTTTTTTATTTTTGACATAACCTTAATTTAAATTATTATATATATATATATATATATATAAGAAGAATGGACGTTGTTGCTGACAAGTACGAAGACAATTTTGGGAATCGATTTGGGGAATGCAGCAAAAAATAAAGTGTACTCTTTAAAGTTTATCCGAGCTTTCGATAATGTTTATTATCATCTTCAGGGAACTATGGATCAATATACAAGTTAAAGACAATAAGACAATAATATAATGTAACTTACATCTTTGGTGAGATTATTAAAGATAAATGTTGTGTAATTGATCTGTTCCATCAGCATCGAGGACAGTGAGAACTTAATTATTAGTCATTAATACATAATAAGCTTGTTAAAAATTATTGAGAAAGGATGAAAGATTGTGTAAATGGGACAATACAACATATTAAAATATTAAATAGTTACAGAGAGAGACTTTTACAATATATCACCCTGGGTTTGAGGATCATCCATCAAATGTGTAATTTGGAATTATTATATTAAAAAATAATTTTCTTTTAAATTTAAATGTCAACCAGAACCAGCTGGCCGTCAAGATCACCTGTTGAATTAATGACTTAAGACATATGTCATTGTAAAGTTAGGTTAGGTATACAACGCTATGTTCCATTGAATGAACTGATATACATTCGATGTGACGTCACTAGCAGACCCACTCAACACAGCAAGACGCCAGGAGCAACAGAATAGGATTAATTGAATCATTTGACATAATACTAAAAACCAATAAGCAAATAAATCATAGTAACACATTAAAGAGAATTTTCATTTAAATTGAGGTTAGGCCCTTTGTCTAGGTGTGAGAGTTTTAACCAGTGAATCCCACTACTCAAAGAGACTCTTCAAAGAGATGGCTTTCATTTCTCAGAGTGATAATTGTATGAACAAAAAATCTGATATTAACCACCTCAGTGAGATTTATTCCTATCTGTTACACCTAGACAAAGGGCCTAACCTCAATTTAAATGAAAATTCTCTTTAATGTGTTACTATGATTTATTTGCTTATTGGTTTTTAGTATTATGTCAAATGATTCAATTAATCCTATTCTGTTGCTCCTGGCGTCTTGCTGTGTTGAGTGGGTCTGCTAGTGACGTCACATCGAATGTATATCAGTTCATTCAATGGAACATAGCGTTGTATACCTAACCTAACTTTACAATGACATATGTCTTAAGTCATTAATTCAACAGGTGATCTTGACGGCCAGCTGGTTCTGGTTGACATTTAAATTTAAAAGAAAATTATTTTTTAATATAATAATTCCAAATTACACATTTGATGGATGATCCTCAAACCCAGGGTGATATATTGTAAAAGTCTCTCTCTGTAACTATTTAATATTTTAATATGTTGTATTGTCCCATTTACACAATCTTTCATCCTTTCTCAATAATTTTTAACAAGCTTATTATGTATTAATGACTAATAATTAAGTTCTCACTGTCCTCGATGCTGATGGAACAGATCAATTACACAACATTTATCTTTAATAATCTCACCAAAGATGTAAGTTACATTATATTATTGTCTTATTGTCTTTAACTTGTATATTGATCCATAGTTCCCTGAAGATGATAATAAACATTATCGAAAGCTCGGATAAACTTTAAAGAGTACACTTTATTTTTGCTGCATTCCCCAAATCGATTCCCAAAATTGTCTTATATATATATATATATATATATATATATATATTTGTAAACAATTGAAATAATTCTGGTGGATTTTTATCTATTCTCTTTTATTCCACGAGGGTTTTCATTGTGATTTCATTGTGAAGTGGATATGATCTTTTGGGTGTACTCCTCTGATTAGTTGACTGGTTAAAATGCAGTTAAGTATAAAAAACACAGGATCGTTTTCCTGTGGGCTTTGGTTTCTAAAACGATCTATTTCGTTGACAGAAATCTGGCAGTCGTTTTTATTTTTAATAATTTTTGCTCTTAATTTTTGGATTCTCCCTTATAGATTTTTCCATATATTTTGCTATCGATTCATATTATCATATCATTATTGAGTTTTTACCTGATAAATCTTATCTTATCAAATTTTTGTGTCCATCCCTATCAACCCTTTATTGAATCCAGGCAGAGGCCTGAATAGCGATTTTCTGTTTGACTCCGTCGATTATTATATCGACTAAAGGGTGTAATTTTTTAATAGAAATCCAGACAGGTCAAAAATTCAGGAAAAAGTTTTAATTACATCTCATGAATTTTGACATATTCTAGATTTGATTAATTTCAACCTCAGGTTTATCTTGTAGTATCTATAGTAGCTACCTGCTACTTTAATTTGAAAGGAAAATTTTGTTCATTTAGGGGAGAATCCAAAAATTTAATTTCTTATTGTTTTACCTTATTTTTGCTCATATTTTCGCAACATTGTAAACATTATAAAATTATTGTTTGTTGGATTTGGAGTGGTTTCATTTGCAAATAAAGGGACTACACGTTATCTTAATTTTTTGAATTCCACGACCCGTTATCTTGTCTTTAAGTAACAAATAAATTCAATTAATTTGTAACAAATAGAAGAAAACGATGATGAACAAGATAAAGACAGATAAGAAATACAAGAAGAAGATATAAGACAAGAAATATAAGGACGAAGAACTAGACGAGTACCGAGTAGATATAACGATTTTGAAATGTATATGGCTTTTGATGCATTGTCAAATTATGTTGAAAATGTTCCTGAAACAGTGAAAGATTTGACTATTTGACTGATAGAAGAAATAGGACTTATGGATAGAAGCGATGACAAGAGAAATTGATTCAATTGAAAAGAATGAAATATTGATAGAAACGGAAACTCCTGAGAATGCTGAGATATTGAATACGAATTGGGTGTTTACCAAGTCCGTAGACCAAAGGTAAAGGTAAATTTATCACCTTCCCCTATCAAATAGCACTGAAAGGTGATAAATTTTACCTTAACCTTTTGACATAGATAATATTCCCCTGAGCCAAAAATGACAATAATAAGAACACTATTATTAGTAGGAAAATATATACATTTATCCACCAGAGGGGATAAAATGTATGTAAATCAGGCAAAGTATTGAAACTTAACAAATCCCTATATGGCTTGTAACAAGTATCCAAATGTTGGAACAATAAGATAAATTATTTTTTAATAAATTTAGAATTCCAAAGATCTGAAACGAATTAGGTACTCTAGTAGAGTAAGATGGTTCCTTCTGCATCATAGGTTCCACCCCGTGGGTGCGAGAGAGACAACACTATACATCAACTCTGCGGGTGTGAGAGAGAAAGCAAAATGTCTGTCATTTCACCGTTTTCTCCAACATGCTCATAATTTGCTTCTTGCTCGATTTCTTCCACTTCTTGTCTCGCTTCTTGTTCAACCTGATTTCCAACTTCTACTTCCACTTCGCCAAAATCAGTAACGTAATCATTATCGAGTTCACTGTGTTTGGCGAAGTGGAAGTAGAAGTTGGAAATCAGGTTAAACAAGAAGCGAGACAAGAAGTGGAAGAAATCGAGCAAGAAGAAAATCATGAGTATGTTGTAGAGACGGGTGAAATGCCAGACATTTTGCTTTCTCTCTCACACCCGCAGAGCCGATGTATAGTGTTGCCTCTCTTGTATTCACGGGGTGGAACCTATGATGTAGAAGGAACCATCTTACTCTACTTAAGGATCCTGAAGTCGAAGCTTCTACTACCAGGGAAAAGCTTTGAAAAATTACTGCTCAAGAGTGGAAAAATACTATATTAAAGACTTTGAAGATGCGCAATACACAAAACTATTAAGTATCGAAACACACAATAGGTACGAAGAATCCTAAATTAATGCTGAAAGCTGTGAAGAATTAGGAGTCACAATCGTATGAAGACTCGATACTTAGCATTCTAGATATTCCGAAAATCAAGAATATTTCATGATCAGTGTTGAAAACTCTCAAGTCAAGGTTCAAGATCCTGGAGACTTTAACTAAGCTTTCAAAAACAGAATTGTCCATGGCTGTAGATGAAACTAGGAAGATTTGATACCCGTCATCGGATGCTGTAAAGATTCTACAATATCTGAAAGCAAAAGAGATTCTGAGATTCATGACTTAAGAAGATATCTTTTTAAACTAATGTTCTGGTAAATGACTATACACCTCGAAAAATCAAAATCCAAGAATAATGAGTTGACTTCAAAAACCTGAAGACTTGACACTAAAGATTCAAGAGAGAGATTCTGGAAATAGACAATTCTCTGAATGTTTATGGGTTATGATTATGAAACAAGTCCAATACCCACAATTCTAGGATCTCTGGATAATTTAACACTGAAGAGTCAGAACTTATATCTTGAAGGCTCGATAATAAGAATCCTGAAGTCAAAGCTTCTAAAACCAGAGAAAAGCCTTGAAAAATTACTGTTCAAGAGTGGATAATTATATATACTATTGAAGACTTTGGAGATCTGTAACTCAAAACTGTTAAGAGTCGCGACTCACAATACGAAAAATCCAAAATCAATGCTGAAAACTGTGAAGAATCAAAAATATTTTCATGATCAATGCTGAAAATTCTCAAGTCACGACTCAAGATCCTGAAGACTTAATACTAAA